CTTCCAGCCCCTACAGAAAAGGGTCATTTCTTGTTTTCAGTTTCCAACACCTAGCCAGGCCCTGATGCAAAGTCAGTGCTCAAAAATTCTGAATAAATGAATGAACAAAGGAAATGCTTTCCCGACCCCCCTTCAGCAGAATATAAAGAAAAGAACCACAGTGGGATCAAAAGATCTGTTTCAACTCCAATTGACTTGATCTCCTAACCTGCAGAATAATGGATAAGAAAACTTTCCTTGGGGAGGAGGGTACATTTCTGTTGCAGAGCCCATGCTAAGCATGTATGAGGTCCTGGGTTCAATCTCCAGTACCTCCATTAAAAAAAAATGAAACAAATAAATAAACCTAATTGCCCCATGTCAAATATTAATTTTTTAATTCAAAATTCAAAAAAAGACCTTGCAATTGACACATTTTAAACTTGTCTATCCTTAAATTAAAAAAAATCCCTGCCTTACAAGAATATATCTGGATTATGGAAGTTTGCAAATGTAAAATGCCTAGGGTACAATCTGCATAAAAAGTGGGGGACTGTAAACATTTACTATCCCTCCTTTATGAGCTATATTTCCTTTGCGGGGGGTTATAATCTCTCAGAGCTAAATTTCTCAGATTAAAAAAAGAAAACATTTCCTGATTCTCAGTAATGCTGAAGAATTAGATAACCCTATGAAAGCATCTAACCCACAGAGGTTACTCAATAAATGTTTGTTGAATGAATGAATAAACACACAAGTGAATGCTGCCCCTGCCATAGACCATCACAATGGTACTGACTGGAAATCCTTAACCCACTTTCCACCCGACTCTACACTAAACATGTGGGTGACCTGGGCAGGCCTGTGTGCTTCTCTAAAGCCCAGTTTATTCATGAAAAGAAATGGGAGTAATAACACAATCCTCAAAGGATTAGTGAGTCAATAACAAATTGTACAACAATTTTGCAAGATGGAATCATGAAAGAAAATTGGGCAAAGAGTCCATAGGCTCTCTCCATATTATCTCTTACAACTGCATGGGAATCTACTTTAAATCTCAAAATAAAAATTCCAATTTTATTAAAGAGGCTATTGAGATTAAATGAGCTCACAGTCTTAAATAAGGAACACACAGTACAAATAGGACAATGCACAGCCCATGAGATACACTCAGTAAACTTTCCCACCAAGCCCACTGGCCCCTCCAACTCCAGAGCAAAAGGATGGGTCCTCATGGCCAGAGGCCACTGAACCTGAAGCTAACAAAGCTAATGGTCCCCACTTCCAAGAGCCCCTGCCTCCACCCTAGGTCTAATTTTGTATTTGTAACTTTCTTTTCTTATACTTAAATAGGAATACCCAATTGCATAGCCTTCAGGTCACCAAATCCTGACCACGGAAATCATGACAGCAGCCCTCCCCAGTGAAACAATAAAATTAAAAGCCATATCCACAAGAAGTCTGTGTAATTCTAATGGCAGGAACTTCATCCTGGACTGAGAGGAAGAGGACTGGGGAGGAGGAGGAAACTGAGGCCCCTAGACCCAGGGGCCACCTGTCCCATGATGAAATTTAGTCTCAACCCACACACTCCAGGAAATTAAAATTACACATAGACAGAGTACTATGGACAAGATTTTTTTTCTTTTAAAGAAACCCCTGATTCTCTAACAAGTCAGGTTTCTACTGAGACACAAATGGCTTATGTGTATATTGTTTCACGAAAACCTAAAATAATATCACTCCAACTTGGCACATGAAGAAACGGAGGAAAAGAGGTTTATCACATTGTGCAAGATTAGAGAGAGGCCACGTCAGAGGCTGTATTTAAATACAAGCCCCTGCTCCAGTTCTCACACTAGAAAGTGTGACATACTGCCCCCTACTGCCCCCTCCCTGCAATAAATCTCTTAAGTCTTTTCTGTGCTACCTGGAAAGAACCAAAGTCACATTAACTTTCCACAAAGAGCTGTGTCACCCCTTGGAGGACGTATCAAAATCTGAAGAATTAGAGTTGGAGCAGAGATTTGAGTTCTCTGTTTCTTAAAAGACAAGGGTTTAAAAGAAACCAAAAAGCACTTATCTAGTCTAGGCCCTCATTGTGCAGAGAAGGAAACGGAGGCTCAGAAGAGATGAGGAAAGGGTCTTATTTACAAATCTTGCCTCAGCGCAGCACGAAGCCAGCCCTGGGCACTGCTGGGGAAGGATGTGGGAGGCACAGGAGAATGAGTGTTAGAAAGAGGAAAGAGAAGAAGCATATCTCTCTGCACCGTCGTAGCATGCAGTTCCACCAAATTATCCAGTATGGGAGCCACCAACATTAAGGTGGGCTAAACAGCTTATAGAAACCTGAAAGTCTCAACCACAGTGGAAATTCCAACTTTTATATGGTTTTTCCCAGTTCAAGCATGAGCTCAGCGGGATCTCCGTGCCAGGCACTACACGAGGCCTGGAGTTCTCCCAAATAAAGATCTCTATGAACACGGGTGCAAACCACATACAGGCCCACCAGAAGAAAAACGCCCACAGATAAGATGGAATTACTAAAATGAAGGCAGCAAACCAGCATATATTACTAGCAAAAAGGACGTTGCTAGAAATACTCATGGACATAGCAAACTGTGGTTAGCAAGTGGGAAAGGAGGACGGACAGTTTAGGAGTTTAGTATGATTAGAAACACATTACTATATTTAAAATAAATAAATGACCTACTGTATAGCACAGGGAACTATATTCAATTTCTTGTAATGAGTTGTACTGAAAACAATCTGAAAAATATACATGTACATATGCATATATATAACTGAAACTCTGCTGTACACCTGAAACTAATATTGTAAACTGATTACACTTAAATAAAAAATAAGAATTTTAAAAATAAATAAATAAATAAAAGAACACTGTAATCCCCTTAGCTGTAGGTGGTGAACAATGGTTGCAACCATCAAGTCTACTTGATCACTCCAGCAATGGCTGTCACTCTTTCTGACAATCAGGGAGTCAATTGGCTTCACTGAGGTTACTTTTCTCTTTCGTGAAAAGCTACAGTTGCAACCAATGACATATGTAATCTCATTATTCACAGACCAAACAAATTAGTGAAGACTTTCCATAGGCCAGGCTCTGGACAGATGAAAAGATAGGGTCCCAGATACATTTATGGGTAGAAAAAAGTTTATGCCATAAAGACATTAATTCAATGCACATAGTAGGGATGCTCATGATAGATTCAAAACAATTCTGATTAGAATTCCTACCAGATTTTTTATGGAATGTAACAAGTTAATTTAGGGTCAGGAACAGCCAGGAAACTTCTTTAGAACCACCACTGGGGAGGGGTGGATTGATCATTCATTTCCACTGTTCTTTCTGAAGTGATGAAAACGTTCAGTAATATTAATGGTTGCACCACTGTGAATATACTAAAAGCCGCTGAATTGTACCATTTAAATGGGTGGACTGCACAGTGTGTGAACAATATCGCAATAAAGCTGTTCTACGAAAAAATATTTCTGGATCACTATTTTCCCCTCTATATTATTAGTCTGCCCCACAATTTTAGAAAAACAAAAAAACAAAACAAAACAAAAATTTGCCAGGAGATCTTTAGGACTTCAATATTCCTGGGTCTCCAAAATGCCTCTGATGTTCTGCTCCTGTTAACACACACTAGTTTGGCTGGACTAGTTAAGGACTATATCTTTATAAAATCAACGGTCACATGTTTCACCCTGGAAGAGGGGAGGATGGAGAATGTCACAGCCTCATGCCCTCATCTCTTTTTTTTGAGTAGAGAAAGTTTTTACTGCAGGGTCAAACAAGGAGAACAGTGGCTCGTGCTCAAAAACCCTGAACTCTCTGATGGATTTTGAGGTGAATTTTTTTCTTTTATTTTTATTTGGGTAAAGTTTTAATAGGCAAAATGAGGCTTGAGGGCTTCCAGGTGTGTGACTTTCTTTTGACTAGTTGGTGGTAGGTAATAGGGCCAAGTTCCAGGAATCTCGTGCTCAGCCTGAACTTACCATCCCCCACCTGGGTGGGGGCCTTAACTCCTGCAGAACAACTCAAACATATTAAGTATAGCCCTGCCCCTACTCCTCAGCTCATTTTTAAGTGAACCAAGCCCTGCTTTCAACACTGTGATCACGCTCACTATAAAACACGTGACATCAACAAGCACCCCCATCCTAACACCAGAAAAAGTATTAAGGGTATTTACCTGGGGCAGAAACACTGAGGGAGGAGAAAGAAGCATGCTCAGCGTTGGCGCTTTCTTTTCCCAAGTCTCTGCCAGGAGAAGCTGGGCTTTACAGCCAGAGGATCTCAGCCCCAGGGAACAGCGTCCACGCCGCTGAGCTGAACTTCGGGGGACAGGGAGAGGGAGAGGATTGCAGTCTAGGGGTCACGGGGCAGGGAAAGCGGCGGGGGCCACGGGCTGCAGCCCCGCTCGGAGGTCAGCCCCACCCACTGTCCCCGCCCCCGCACGGCTTCGCAGATCCCGCCAGCCTGGGACACAGCCCGCCCAGGGGGGGGTGGGGTCTGCGGCCGAGGAGAGGAAACCCGGGAGGAGGGGACTCGCGGCGGGAGAGCGGAATGTGGCTCCGGCCGCGGACTGAGGGGAGCCTGGCTTGGGCGAGAGGTAGAAGATTCGGGCCGCAGTATGGACGGGGGTGGCCATGTCCCCGGCAGGTGTGTGCCCGGCCCTGGACAGGTGTAGCCTGGGCGCCGGGGCAGGTGGCGCAGGCAGAGGGGGCTATCGCGAGCCCCTCAGCTGGACACTCCCTGACTCGGGCCCTCGCAGGCTGTGACACGCGGACCCCCTTCCCCAGAGCCCCCAACCTTCCACTTACACAGCCGGAGGCCCCGATTAGGGGCAGGGGCCAAAGGTCTACCGGGCGACAGAGCCGAGCAGCCACTGGGGCTGATCCCTGGCTCGGAGCTGGAGCTTCGGACCCGCGGTCCAGTTGGCATCCAACCGTGGGCATGCGCGGGAGGGCCAGCGATCCGCTCTGGGCTCTGGGTTCTGCGAGATACACTGGGGAATCGAGGGAGGAGGAATATGGGAGGGGGAGAAGATGGGAGGAGTAGGAGCGGAAGCGAAAAGTGGAGGGAGAGAGATGGACAGAGGAGTAGCAAGGAGAAGC